CGGGGCGAGCGAAAGCTTGCCTGCCTCCAGAGCGGCTCCCGGCCGGGGCTGGGCTGGACGTGCGGGCTCCTTATCGCCCGGCTGGACAGGGGCCGCGAGGGATGTGGCACAGCCCCGCGTCAGTCATCGTTCAGAACCTGCAAAAATAGAAGCAGATAATGGATGACTAACACATTGCAGCCCGTGTCCTCAGCGAATCCCAGCCGCGGCTCGTACATACACGAGGAGTGGCACGAGCTTGCGCCCGAGCCTGGGAAGAGGCTGGACTGGGGCCCGCCCTGCCCACCGGCAGCCCCCCAGGATTTCAGGACCCCCGGGAGCATCGCCCCTGTTCTGCTTTCCGCTTGCTCTTCCGCCCTCACACTCTCGCCCGTGTTCTCCTCCTGCTTCTCCCCCCAGCCCCCTCGCCTTCACCCCGCTCTCCGGATTTCTCCTTACTCGTCTAGCACTCCCATCTTTCACCCCAAGTGCTCTGAATGCGGCTGCGAATGGGAGCGAAGTCCGCGCACGAATGACGGGCAAAGGCGCAAGAGCGAAGAGAGGGGAAGACAAAATGCTCGAACGCCACGGTCCTCCGAGGGAAAAGGACTTGGAGAACAAAGGCGCGCTCGTTTATGGGCATCAGAGCTCGAGACCCAAGGAGAGAGACCCCCTGCCGAGAACTCCCAAGGCTCACCCCAGAAATCATTGCCCAAGTTCTCAGAGTGATGTTCAAACAAACCGAAACTCCAGGGCGAGAAGAATGTCTGAAAGGGAAAGGCCCCTTTGAAAATCCTGCATCAAATATAAAAGTAATCATGTCCTAGTGTTAAGGCATGCCTTCCAAGAGGTATTCCTTCCTACATGAGGTTTGGAGATTTACAACACAATTAGAAACAGTAGGGAGAATCTCAGCCAGCCCCAAATGAATGTTACCTAGGAAGCCCATGGTCCAGAACTTCGCATTAATGTAAATGCGAGGCCACGCGGAGCTGGCGCAACAGCTCAGCATTGTAGGGAGAGAACTCAGCCAGACTAAGTGTTTCTATATTCAGCTTTGACTTTCCTGTTCTGAACATACCTCACACAACGGATCAAGTCCGAAAAGTTTAGTCGGAAGGCATTAACTCAAACAAAGGGTATCATTCACAATATAAACACACCTCCAAAGAAAAAATAGTTCTTAAAGTTTTTCATCAATAATTATAAACATGGTTTGGAGACTCTCAAACCCACTGGCCAGATGAATAACAGTGAAGAAGGAAAACCAGGACGACCATCCAGAAGGTCCATAATAATACATCAGGTCCTAAATTACCCTCCAGAAACCACAAGATAGCAAAGATTGTCTAAAAGAAAATAAAAGCACCCAAGCAAAAGCCCTAAAACCAAAACAAATAAAAAGGGACTCGTTACTCTTAAATTAAATGAAATTCTTCATGGCTTGACACTTTCTAGAGAGAAGAAACATACCATAGACCAAATATAAATAAAACATGATTTCATAACCAACCAGTTCAAGGATGCTTGAGGCTCACCAGCACCTGAAGACCAGAGTGGATTTACATAAGCAATGACATTTTTTAAAAGGCTGATAGTGTTTGTTTGAACTTTGTGGCTTGCTGCTTGTGCTTTCAGCAGCTAGAGCCTTCAGCTTCGTCCTTATCCTGTGGGTAAAGGAAAGAGCTCCTTCTGGGGAAGAGAAACACTTGGCCTGGAGGCTATGCTTTTTGCCTTTGCTCAAAACAAAATCTAATCCCGTCAAATGACAACACTCAACATTCTCTGAAGTTCTTTCTTAATATATATGTGAAGAAGGAATTATATTCTATTATTTCATTCAGAACAGGATTCAAGGACAGTCCTTCCAGATGGCAAGGAGATTTGGTATTGTACAAATACTTGAAAACAAATTGAGTATTAAAATTCTCTACCAGGAACACACGTGTAAGTAGTAGCCTTTGGAAAAAAAAAATCCACTTATCTTTTGATTGATTTTATTACCTTTGATGTTCCTAAACCACCCACTTAAAGAAAAGAGAACTGAAGTTGTGGAAAGAAACAAAGTTGATATTTGTAGCTATGAATAGAACAAAAGCTCCAATAGAAATGAAAGCTAATTACATTCTTTGTTTCTTAATTGTTGTAAAGACACAAATCATCCCATGAAAATACTATTTCTAATCATTTCATTTGTTAGTTTATAATTCCTGATTGTGTGACATACATAATATTTAAATCTTATCAGTCCTTTTAAGATTATAAAAATTGAAAATTTATTCTCCTGAGATAATTCATTCACTCATCTGAAAAACAATTAATTTCATACTCTGTACAAAATGGTGGAATACATATTGTGGATGTCTGAGACGAATAAAACTAAAAGAGTATGTAGTCTTTAAGGGCAATGAGAACTTCACACCATTAACATAAGGTATGTTTAGAGTGTACCATTTCTGTAAGAGTACTATAAAGGGACTCAGGGAATTTTGAGGAAGGAAAGACCTGAACAACCTCCAGTAAGAAGGTAAGAAAAAGAAAAGGGGGGAGGTGGCTATTGAGCAGAATCTTGGAGGACAGTTGGCTTTCTTCACGGGAGGTAGACCACAGGCTTTCCTGGCAATGGGGGATGGCAGGTCATAGGGGCCCAGTCCTCTGAAAAACAATGCAAGTTCTGCCGCCTGACTCAGCTGCAGGCCCAGTATTACTGCTTCATTAGTAATACAAAGCAAATATTCTATTCATATATTCAAAAATTCTTTTCTTTTTAATTTTGATATGAGGCACATGCACTCGCCAGAGAGGAAGAGACAGAGAGAAAGTGAGAAAGCATCCCCCGTGAGGATGGCCCTTCTCCTCATCTTGGGACTTGGGGCATGCACACACAGGAGTGGAAGCCTGGTGTGTTTTTCTTTTCTTGTCTTTTTTTTTTTTTTTTTTTTTGAGATATTTTTTGCATTAGGGTGCGTGCACACACTGGAGAGAGAGACAGAAAGCAAGAAATCACCCCCCACAGGGAATGGTCACGCCATAATCCCTTCTACTTCATTCTCAGAATTTTGGGCATGCATGCACACATGCCTGGAGGAGTTTCAAGTCACCAAGTCCAAGACTCAAACTGCAGTCAATACCTGGAAGTCCAGTTCGTAACCATTATACCAGCAGATGGTCCCGAGTCCAGTGTGTTTTGTAAGCCTGCAAGTCTGTGACTTGAACCATGCAACTGACCATACGGGACCCAGCCACTTTAGCCACCGTGCCACTGGCAGCCCTATCCATAAATTCTTTAGGGAAGAGTAATATATAGTTTATACCCGTGTGGGTCTTCACTCCAGTAGCAGTAATACTCGGTAGTAAGTACGGCCAAGTCCAAAGGACCATGAAATGATTTTGGATCTTACAAAGAAATTTTCATTAAAGAAAGAAAATATAGAAATGAAAGGGTGAAGTTTGTAATGGGCCCAAGAATCAAATCCATCACCCACTCATTCACTGATGCGTTAGGAGAGGGCCGGCAGAGTGCAATGGCCGCTGGTGAACTGCAGGAAGACCGCCTGACTCCTGGCCGCACCGTTACGTGGCTGTGAACCTGGGAGAGTCCCTGGCTTCCCTGAGCCTTCGTTTTCTTCATCTGCAGAGTGGAAACGATCATAATACCTACCAGACAGGATGAATGCCAGTACTAATGGAACTCCTACCTTCAGAACAGTCCCGGACACGTAATAAATGCTCCCTGTTATGGCCGCAACAAACCACATGCTTAGGAGTGCTGGGGACAGTGACAATCAAGACAGAGTTCTCTCTCACAGACATTACTTCCAGCAGGGAAGAATAACTGCCTAATTTTAAGTTT